CAGTAAGTGGAGCGAAGGTTCAAATGTCTGTCCAAGTTGTCCAAATCATGAGGAAACTATTATTCATGTTCTTCGTGATTGTAGACATGCTAGGAAAATTTGGCAATCTTGGTTTACAGGTTCGATACCCAATTCCTTTATGAATTCGAATTTGCAGGATTGGTTGACTTTAAATATCGATAACATGTGGTCCTCCGATAAAGTGAAGGACTGGAGGGATATTTTCTTTACTACTTGTTGGTTTTTGTGGAAGTGGAGAAATTTGGAGATCCATGAAGATCATTTCTGTCATGATGAGCAATCGCGGGCTTCAATTTGGATGTTTGTCCAACAGATTCTGCAAGCCCGAATTTATCAGCGCCGTGGTGATTCCAACGATAGCGTTTGGACAGCCCCCAAGCAAGGGTGGGTTAAGTTGAATTGTGATGGAGCTTCTTCTAGTGGCATTAAAAAAGCTAGTTGTGGTGGTATATTAAGAGATCACAATGGATCCTTTTTGGGAAGCTTCTATTGTAATTTAGGTTCCTGTAATCCTCTTGATGCAGAATTATGGGGATTACTGAAAGGTTTGGAACTGCTTTGGGGAACAGGATTAAAAAGAATAGAGCTAGAATGTGATTCTAGCCAAGCCATCCAGATGTTAAAGGAGCAGCATGAAGATCCTAGGGACTCTCAAGTCACTAGCAGATTGAGATTATGGTTAAAAGCAGATTGGACTATTCATCTTGTTCATACCAAGAGAGAAAACAACAAATGTGCTCATTGGTTAGCTAAAGCTGGGCAGACTAATAATCTCCATTTCAAGATTTTTAAAGATCCTCCTCCTCAGTTGATGGAACTTATAGTTGCTGATGCTAGAAATATGTCTAGCTTGTTAGTTTCTGATTTGTAATTTCTTTATGTTTCTGGGGCTTAGCCCCTCTTTATTTACAAAAAAAAAAAAACTCCTTGTATTTACGGAGCTGTGTGGTGAGCACAGAGCGAACTATTCTTTCGTTTTTTACTAAAAAAAAAAACTCCTTGTAAATTTTTTTAATTGAGTTTGATATGCGACATTCTTTGCGATTTTCGGAAAAGATATTATCGTAAACTGAATGTAAAAATCATATTTTTGAAAATCGAGATTCTTTGATAAAAAAAAATTCTCCTCTACCAAACGCCTAAATGCCAATCTAGGGCACTTTTAGTAACAATGGTAAAGACCAATGCTCTTTTAGAGTTTCTCAGGTGCTAAGCAGATATATTATAATGAGAGTGTGTGTTTGACTATAGTGGCTCTACATTTTAGCAGAGTAACAACTAATGAATATGAATATAATAAATACGTCCTTTCAATAAAAAAAGAATGTATTTAGAGAAGAGAGATGACTCCCCAAGCGTGAGAGAGAGAGAATAAAGAGGGGACAGAGTTATACCACTTGTGCCAAGCCTTGCCTCTATTGCAAGGCGTGCTGCATCAATTATCAGTGTACCGTAGACAACAGTGCAGGGATAGGAGGAATCTCCTATGATAAGGCTCTACGACTCATTATGGGATACCCTTTAAAATGTTTTAGATATGAGTTATTAACAATGGGCTCAATTTATTAGATATAAAAAGGCTGATAAGAACATATACAATTCAACATAATATGAAACAACATATTAAGAAATTAAAAAGTTAATTTATATCTAGATAGTCTAGACTTTCTAACATTACCTCGTATTACATATGGTAAGATATTCCATTCCCTAAAACAAATGAATCTACTAACCCCGAGATTAGTGTTTGGTAGGGGAGTTTTAATTTTTTTACCTGGGAAAGTTGGTATGAGATTTAGGTAGTGTTTGGTTCGGAAGAAATTTTATTTTACTAGGGAAATGTAATTGATAGGAAAATGGTTGGAAAATGAGTTTGGTAGGAAAATGTAAAAAAAGTTGTTTGGTTGACCGAAATATTACCAGGAAAATTTATTTAAATATGCAAAATCTATGTTCCAGAGAAACTTTGCACCTGTTTTTTTCACTTTCTCAGTTATCTCAAAATACCACATCTCAAGTGGTATTCTGTAACAGTGAATTTCATCCAAAAATCAACACAAAAGTCATTTTCCCATCTATCCTATTTGCCTAGTATTTTTAAAAAAACCTGAACCAAACGTGGTATTTTTCAATATCCACTTACACTTTCCCATCAATCCCAAAATAAACCTTCAACCAAACACTACTAAGAATAACATATTTGGTAGGAATTTGTAAAAAATTTGCATAGGCTTCTCATTTGCATAAGAATTTGATGTAATGTGTAAAATTGTAAGAATTTGTCCACTTCAGAATACTACATAGAGTGGTGTTTTGATTTTGCATGAGAACTAAAAATGGAAATGAAAATGAGGAAAACTTACACCAATTTTTTTAATAATATTTTGTCCTACCAAACAATTTTTTTTTAACTTTCCTATCAAACTCACTTTCTCACTATATTTTCAGTAATTGAGTTTTTCAGGTAATTTTTTTTTTCTCCTCTACCAAACACTTCCTAAATATAATGTATGATAATACACTGATTAATGTTTCTCATATTATAATAGAAATAATTATCTCCTACGTATATATAAAAGTATATAATGCTCATGTAAGACTATGTGAAGAGAATAGAGAAAAAAAAATGAATCTCATACATTTTTTTTGAATATATAAAAGATAAAATTATTTTTAAAATTCTAATCCCTAATACAATTCGAAGTCACATCATAGCACGCGTTACTTTCAAAGGATGTAGTTATGTCACAAAAGGGTCATTGAATGGTATATATAATTAAAACATTATTATATTAATTATTGACTTTAATATTTCTACAGTGAATGTAGATATGTTATTCACATTCAATCCTAAAAGTAAAACGATGTCATTTTGGACTCAATGTAGATAATTTATCTACATTAACTGCAAAAAAAATGAACCATTAATTATTTGATACATATAAAGTGTTTAGTAGAAACATTTGATGATTAATATAGATAATTAAAAGGGAAAACTACTCTTATGCAACATAAGAGTAGTTTTATCTACAATAGATCCATCGAAAATTGCGACATTCTTTTTTATTTTTTTTCCTTTTTTTTATAAATGGTGGGTCCCACCACATGTGGGTCTACAACATGAGAGATCTTCTCTCATGCAACGTGAGATTAGATGAATCCTAATTAAAAATATTATGACATCCATTATTCAATGCATATAAATACTTAACGCAAGTAGTTAGTGACTAATTATTATTTTTCGTCTAATAAAGTTAATTTTTTTTTTTATGTTGTAGGCAAAATGTCATAATATAACATAATGTGTAATAAAAACCAATGTTGTAAAAAGTGAACCGGTCATCTGTCCGGTCCGGTTATCACATTAGATTGGCCAAATACCAGACTCGGTGCCACCCAGTGAGTTTTGTGAAAAACGGTGACCCGATCGGTTAACTAGTCTCCTGGCTCGGTTTATTTAAAAAAAAGTATTTTAAAAAAAAAAAGTTTTTTAAAGAAATTTCATAATTGACATATTTGAGTGATTGTTGCTTATTGACTTAGATATGTTATGTACCTACAATATTAATATTATCTCAGTTATATACTACATAAGGAATTTTGATTTGATTTATGGTTAAAAATATCGTTTATTGAACCTAAAACACAGCATTATATGTTTGTTTGATTATTTATTCGACAATAATATATAATTTGTTATATTTTATATTAAAAATATTTAGATTTATATTATTTTTTTCAGCTATCTGAGTATGTTTATAAAATTTTAATACAAATTATAGATTTACATATAATCACGGGTCAATCAGCAACCCAATACCTAGACTGGGTCAATGATCGGCCGGTTTTAATAACATTAATAAAAACTCAATTTTTTAACTACTTTTCATATAATTTAATTTACTAATACTTATATTATTTTTAAAATTAAATGAAAAGAAAAATTATAGTTACTACCTCTTACTATTAAATCTTAACTAGTGATTTTTGTCAATATAACGTTTGTAATTTATTGAAATCAATAAACTACAACCGTTAAATTGATAAAAATAAAAGATTAGATTTGATAATAATTGATAGTAAAAAAACGATGTAGTAACTATAAACTATCCTATAAATAAAATAAGATATTATTATTCTATAGATTTTGTGAGATCATAACGGTCCCTCCCTAGTCTTCAACCGACTAAAAGAAATTCAATAACATACCTACCCACATTAAACTTGTACGACTTTAAAGGACAATAAATAAAGAGTTTTATTATTTTCATTTAACATAAAATAATTATCTTATATTGTAGAGAGAAAATAAATGGGTTCCACAATTACAAGAAAAAAAAAAGTGATGTACGGACATCAAAGTGAGAAAAAAATGAGAGATGATATTTCATGTGAAAGGCGAGTAACATTTTCCATAAATAAAACTACACATTTGTTGTTATAAAAAAAAAAAAAAAACTACACATTTGTTTGCCCATCGGTTTTTATTCACAAATTTAACTATTCTGTTCCCTTGCCTCCACGCCACAACACCCTGTGGGCTTCCCAAAATTTTCCCCACTTTAGGATAAAAATAGTAGATCAAAACTATGTCCAGTCATTATGCTTTTATTATTTTAGTAAGAACTCTACCTTTATTTTCATATTTTTTCTGGTATTAAAGAGATATTATTATGTTTATGCCTGTCTTTTCTGTAGCGTATCATACGCTCCACCGCTTTGGGAAGACCGGGGGCGTTTAAAATTAAAAAGCGTTCATTATGTGTGCGTGACAATCCAATCGCCTCTGCCTACAGTTTCACCACATCAACAGTTGTTCATCTACGTGGCAAACCAGGACACAACCTGTCACCTTAGAGAAAAACCACACTGACTTTAACCGCAAGGGGGGGGTAACAAATGGAGTTGGAGTTCATTGATTTTTAAACCAAACCATGGTTACGGAAAACCAAACCAGGGTAACGAGGCAGTTTATAAAGGGAGTTACTAACCATGCTTGAGTTCATGTAAACATCCAATGCAAACAAAACCAAAACATCCATCATCAAAACCATGATGCTGGGGGAGACCCACCGTGCAAATCCCACCGTCCACGTGCCTCCGTGGCCGCTTCATCACGATCCAACGCCGGAGATCTTTTCCCCTTTTGCCGCCAATACCGATTACTCTCCGTACTACTTGCAGGAAGCACTCACTGCGCTTCAGCTCTATGTTCCCTCCAACGATACCGATGCCGATTCCGACTCGGAGTTTCCGAGTCGTGAATCGGATGTTCTGATGGATGCATACTCCTGCGACCATTTTCGCATGTTCGAGTTTAAGGTCCGAAAGTGCGCACGTGGTAGGTCACATGACTGGACGGAGTGCCCTTACGCTCACTCCGGCGAGAAGGCTCGCCGTCGCGACCCGAGGAAGTACCATTATTCCGGCACCGCGTGTCCCGATTTTCGCAAGGGGAATTGCAAGAAGGGTGATGCATGTGAGTTCGCGCATGGTGTGTTCGAGTGCTGGCTCCACCCTGCGCGCTACCGTACTCAGCCATGCAAGGACGGAACCAGTTGCCGGCGAAGGGTGTGTTTCTTCGCCCACACGCCGGAGCAACTCAGGGTTCTGCCTCAGCAGAGTCCCCGGAGTGCAAACTCGGCCGATTCGTATGATGGGTCCCCTCTGAGAGCCAAGATGCTTCCCTTCATATCTTCTCCCTGTTCGGTCTCCCCGCCGGTGACGCCTCCGGCGGAGTCTCCTCCGATGTCACCGATGACTCTATCACTGAGCCGTTCTATGGGTTCGAACTCTGTCAATGTGAATGAGATGGTGGCTTCTATGCGTAATTTGCAACTGGGTAAGGTGAAATCATTACCCTCTTCCTGGAACGTTCAAATGGGGTCTCCTGGTTTTGGATCACCGAGGGGACCCGTGATCCGACCCGGATTCTGTAGCCTCCCCTCGACCCCTACACAGCCACCGGTTCGTGGTGGTGTTAACTATTTCGATCTCTGTGATCAGAGTTGTGAGGAGGAGCCTGTGATGGAGAGGGTTGAGTCAGGAAGGGACATACGGGCGAAGATGTTTGAGAAATTGAGCAAAGAAAACTCTCTGGGAGGATCGGGTTCGGTTTCGGGTCAAATGAATGGAGCTCCGGGTGTTGGCTGGGTTTCGGAGCTGGTGAGTCCCTTCTTGGGATGATGAAGATGGTGAACCATCTTGGGTTGTTTTGATCCGCTTCCCTGGTTTCCCCTCCTTCAGTGTGTATAGAATGCGAGGACTCAGGGAAAAGATTAATACAAGATTTATTTTGGAAGCAGCAACTTGTATGTGTGTAAATATCTTATTGGTGAAGTGAAGTGAAGAGTAGAAACTCTTTTTGGGCAGTTTTCTTGGAAAGTCAAGACAACAAAGATGATTTGCGAGATAAAAACTATCCTAAGCTTTTGTATAGGTTAGCAGATGATGAATTATATTACTCCCATGTGTTAACTACTGTGTTTATTATTACTTTCCAGTGACTGGTCTCATCCTTATTCATGTACAAATTTGAATTATGTTACGTAGGATCAAACTCCGGTCCTTTCTTACCAAATTATTTATGTGATGTATGTTTATTCAAATTTTGGATTTTGCTTCGGTTCTCTGTCTCAATGCTCCTTTCATCCACACTTTTCCCTTAATCGTTAATGAGAGATGATTTCTTGTAATCACAACTATCGTTCTTGTCTGGTTTTGATAACAAATTGACTGCTTTCGACTATAAAATTCTTATTAATCTTATGGTGGCATTTTTCGATATGATCTTATTGTCGCATTGATAAGTTCAGTACGCATCAAAACTAGATTCTTTATATATGTCTTTTTTTGAGTGAAAATAATACACGTTGTTTGTAATATATATGGGTTTGGTGTTTGTCATTTTAAATGACATATGTTATCTCATTTTAGGAGAGAGATAGACACAGAAAAATTGAAATCATAGGAGAGAGAAAGTGGATGGTTTTTCTTAATTTAAAATTTAAATTTTCTGGGTCTGTATTTCTCTTAAAATGACATAATTTTCTGTCATTTAAAATGATAAACACTTTTCAATATTATATTGCATATAACATGCAACTTTGTCACCGGGAAGTAATTAAATGAAGGGGGAAATGTTTATGGTATTTTAGTTAAAATTAGTGTTTTTTATTTCAAATTTAAATTTTAAAAAAAAAATCATTCACTTTCTTCCCATTATTCTCATTATGTATTTTTTTCTCTCAGTGCAAATTCAAACAACAATCCCTTGAATGAATGTGTTTCAAATGGATCGAGATGAAATGCGATGTGGAAATCAGGGTGCAAGTCACGGGGCAAAATCCAGATGTCCAGAATCCTGATAAACAGCATGCTTGTGGCAATTGCAGGTGTTGCTTTGACTCTGAACTAGTCTAGTGGTGTTATTCTACAGCAGAGATTAATATTGTCTTGCTTGCCAAATCATGGAACAGAATGTAATAATGCTTCCCGGAAATTTTTTTCGTTTAATTAATGTATACATTTTGATCTCGCAATGAATAACTATGCTGCGTTGTGTATCCGGTAAAAAGTGGTAATTTGTAAGCTTTCCGCAAAGACTATATTTGAACAAGTCCTACAGTTTACATTGCATATTGCGAGTTAAAGTGACACAATGTATTTAATTGATTTCATCATTTCATGTCACGGTACTCTTAACATGAAGAGCCAGTTTGAAAGGATACATAATAACCTTGTGCTTTGAGTTCGAGTTCGTCTTGGTAGTTTGCGTGCAAAGGTGGCATACATGAGAGGGGACCGAAGGTAGTTACCATCCCTCAATTGACATCTAAAATTGACATTAACGGTTATTGCAAGGTGCAGTGTATTTGCCCTGATAAGCTATTTGGGGAATTATGGTCCCCTTCTTTGGGTTACATGGACGTTGCTCCTTCAGCTGCTCATATTATTATTTTTGGACATTATCTGTCCAGGAAATATCGATAGATCACACATAGTTGAGTCTGGTCCAATAATAGTCTGGGTCTTCTTCGAGATGGATATCAGAGTGAGATACTTCTACAGGATGAATGATCTTGTTTAATTGGGATAAATATTGGGTATTTGCAAGACACTCCAATATTCAAATCTGTATTAAATCAATGAGCTTTAGTAAAAGTGGATAAAATGATCATACTTACACTTCAAGTCTCCGTTATATAAATAGTTTATTATGTAGTCTATCGTTAGAGGTGGCAAAGTGGGCGGCTCGCCCCACTTCGCCAAAAAATGAGGCAGCCCCGCCTCGCTCCGCTTTTAAAAGTGGGCTGAAAAACTCAGCCTGCCCCGTCCCGTTTGGTGGGTTGGCCCGTCAACCCAAACCTATTTTACACTGACCCGCCTCGGCCCGCCAAAAAATGAGCCCGTCCAGCCCCGCTTTTCAGATGAATTGAAAAATTCAGCCCGTTCAGTCCCGTTTGGCGGATTGGCCCGCCGAGCCGAGCCCGTTTTGCCAGCTCTAGCTATCATAAGTGCAAGATGCTAAGTTGTGGGCTATACCTCTAAAGTGTAGCTGGAGACGTTTGCATATTTAATGCACATTGATGATATTTCATTTTTTCTTTCCTAGTCTTGTCTGTAGGAAAATTTTCCCCGGAGAAAAGACAACACCTGCTAATCCGCTTTGTTAATTTTGGTAGAGAGGGCAGGTTCACGCCAAAAATATCCTAACTCATTGAAGCCCGAATTAATTTGACTCAAGTTTGTTGAATCTACCAAATCTAAGAAATGAATCAAGATACAGTATTTGATGGTCAATTTTAAGAAAAAAGTAAACTTAAATGGTGAATCCCAAGCTTAACAATTTTTAATTGGAAATTGTTTTCTCTAACTATAGTATATAATTATATCATGTCATATACATATAAAAAATGTGCCTCTAATTGGTTTTTCTTTAACTTGTGAGCTCACATTTTTTATTAACGTAGAAAAAAAAACTTCTCACATATCAAATAAGAGAAGTATTACCCATTTTTAATATATAAATTTTAGGTTGAAATACAACTTTTTTTCAAGTAACTTGTTAAGATACACAAATAAATTTTTGCACGTACCTTTGAAATGTTTCATCTTGAAGTAACTAGTTAATCCTATCTTGCTTGATTCGTTTCTTAAGCTTTTTTTAGTTTGATGTCACTTAGTTTATTGTAATTTATTATTTGACCCATCGGTGAAAATATTATTTATAAAGAGTTTTGGGCTTCTTGTACCATTTTAACATTTTGTATAACTCAACTTGGATATAATTGGATTGAAATAAACAATATGGTACATGAGTTGTTGGTCTTTCCGTCTTTTTCCTCAATCGCCGGTAATGACTCCTCCGGTTAGATATTGTTTCGGTGGAAATTTGGGGGGTTTGAGTTATTAGAGATTTAGGTTTTTGGAGAAAATGAAGCATGCTTGTCATGTGTGCATAGGAGTAATTTCTATCTTATATGAATTAACATCAACGATGTAATATTTTTCTTTTAGCAATTTAAGTGTGAGTGATAAAGTTCAACATCGGATGGGATTGAGTTAAGTATAGAACATACAAGTGAAATGAACTATAAAACTCCTGTGACCCCTTAACATTAGTATCCATACTATCGTTATTGGTTAAGCCAAGTATTTTGAGATGGAATTTAGTGCGGAGGAATACCATTTATAAGGTATTTGAATAGCCTCAACTGATAAGAATTAATACAATTTTTATGAGGTTCTCTTATGAATGAAATTCAATGTAAATATTCGTTGTTGATTGAAAAAATTCTAATAATTGAATCCATAACAATTTTTATATTCAATTCAACAATGCTTGTATTTTTTAGTTTCATCAAGATCGAAGACTTGACCACTTTATGTTTGTTATCTCATGAATACTTAAAAGAAACTTTTGCAAAGGGATTAGGAAGTTGATTTATATATATATATATATATATATATATATATATATATATATATATATATATATAGAACCCACATTTAAAGGGAGAGATTATTATATTTATTATAGAACCCACATTTAAAGGGAGAGATTATTAGTAATTTAAGTGTAAGTGATAAAGTACCACATCGGATAGAATTGAGTTAAACATAGACAAATAAACGAAATGATATATAAATCTAACGTTAAGGTTTTTGGTCAAGATATAATATTAAATTCACATATTATAAATTTTTTCTTAATCCCTCAATTTCAAAAGTTCAGCAACTATCGTTAGAAATGGGAACCACTTGAAGCTAAGAGCCTCCATCGGGGACCTCATTTGACACACTCTAAGACCAATTGCGTTAAACAATTTATTTAAATGCATCATTTCTGAATCCCTCACTAGCTGAATCAAGCAAAACAAAGCCAACATATCCTTACAACTTTACTGTTGGAGACCCTTAAACTTTATCCACCCACTATTGAAACCCCAGTACCACTAAAAGTAAAATCCCACTAAAGAATGATAGCTCAGTTCGTGTCAAGAAACTAAACAGGTGGGGGTAAAAGCATGTATTTGATCGTTCCCAGTACCGTATTTGGAAGGGATTTAAAACCTTAATCTAGGGACCAATCTTGAATCGAACTATTCGCGAAGCGATGAACCAATTGGAATATCTCAAAAAAAGAAAGAAAGTAAAACCCCTAATTGAGATACCATTTTATAACAACCATTTCACATCCAATATAACTACAAGAAAAAAAGCATTTCGCGGCAGTAACGTTTAAAACGAGAGTTACCAAACTGTCGTAATTAGAAGTGTCAGAGAGCTATTCCACGACGATTCCGTCTAATTATTGAAATAACCGCCAAATATGTGTTTGGACATGATTCAAGAGGCGGTTACAACTGACGACATATGAAGGGAAGATGACATTATTTAAAACTCTACGGTGGTTTGATAATTTCCCTCAAATCTATATTTAACGACGGTTTGGTAATATCAGCGACAGTCTTAAACTGCCGCAAAATTCTATTTACAATCATTAGTCAAATTAATTAAAGGCAGTTTTGAACAACAATAGAAAATGTCTGCTTTGTTTTTTTAAAATTAAAATTTATTTTTATATAGAATTAATAATTTAGAATCTCAATTTAGTTTGCAATGCCGAAAAATATTCTAAATATTGATTTATTAGAATTTTATTATATAATTGAATAAAATAATTTAGCAAATTGTATATAAATCCATGTGTAATTATCCATAATATGAATATAAATATTTGGACAAAATGATAACTAATGGTTATCCAAAAAATCAATGGACCAAAATAGATAAAACGTTTCCATCTCATAATATTTATGAATGCAATCCATATTTGCATGGTAGTAAAGAGTGTACAAATCCATTCCTAATAAAATGCATTCAATAAGTCTTGCTTTAATGAAGCAAATGCAAATGTCCAACATAAAAAACAACAAAATCCCCTCAAGTGAAACTAGTAATCAAAAGATTATATATATGAGTTTGCTAACAAAAAACACTCATTCAAAAGATTCATAGCACTAAGGAGATTGTAAAATAAAACCAAGGCATAAGAAATTATTTTGTTGAGATATTTGCTGAGATAATTGTCTAAGAGTTTAAATATCATTTGGTGATGGTGCTTGAGTTTGAGGTTCATGGCTAGCCTCAGAAAATGTCTGACACTGGCTGGGGAGCCCAAGTCTTCAGCCTACAATCAAACCCAGTATAATGTTATAAAAAAAGAAGACAATTCAACCTACATAAATTCCACAGTACTTTTTCATCATGTCATCTAAAGACTGATATGATAAAGGACAAAACAAGCAACCAAAAAAGAATGTATTATGCCTGACACACAATAAACGTAACCAGAAGAAGCATCCAATTTCATTTATTTTTTTCGATTCAGTTTAAATCCCTTATTTATATCAAATTGTTTCAGGAAACCAAAGGACTATGTTGCCAACAACTCAAACAATACTTCTTAACAGCCACTAAGCCAAATAAGCAATTCAAAATAAAACAATTTAAAAATTTACAATAAAAAAATTCAAATCACCAGTGGACAAGCCAATAACAAGAAACATGCCTAATAACGATTTGATTAAGAATCATAAAATCTAATGTTGAAACCATTTTGATCAAGTGGAAAGATTTGAAACTTTAATAAGTACCTGCATTCAAAACTACAAAAGTATACAACAAGGCAACAAGGAATGAAAAAATTCAAAAGACCAGGAGTGAGATCAACATGATCATGACCACCACATGATTAAAACAATTCAACTTAAATATCAACCAATGAAAAGCTTATGTCGTGAGAAAGTACCACATCAAGTCCAGGGATTATAACATCGGGAGAAAATTGCACTCCCAACATCTTCACCATAAACAAAATTGTCTACTCAAAAC